TGGGGGAGGCTTCTCCAATTACTTAATGCTTTGCCTGATCATCCTCTTAAGAAAAATGAAATACTTGATATCTTTTATAATGGACTAACCAGTGTATTCACACATTAGGCCAGACCGACGACTCAAGGGCAAAATCCTCCACGCGACCCAGCACTAGACTAAATCGACTCCGGTTAAGCCGTTAGCCATCAAGGCTCTAATCTTTGATAAAGTGGGCATATATTTAGCCTGTTCCTCACTGCTGATCCGGTCCGGGAGTGGATGTCTTGAGCTAAGCCTGCTGTCACCAAAACCCAGCTGTCAGGGGGATGAACCCCAGGCAGGCAATGGAACCCGGATCCTTTTCAAAAACAACGGGGCCAGCATTGCCCCTCAATCCGGCCCGACCTTGGCCGAGTTGCTCGACTCGGCTAGGTCGCTCGATCCAGCCAAGCAGGCCGACCCGGCCAGGCTCCCCGACACGGCCCCAACAACCAAGCTGAAGACTTCTCCAGCAAGCCAGCACCGCCCTTGGCGTGTTCTCCAAACCCGACCAAGGGTCAACGGCCGTCCCATCCCAGCCGTACGATGGAACGAATCTCCGCCAGCTAATGATCAACGCCGCAGTACCCCGCACATGCCTCTGGTCGGCCAGACGAGGCAACCGTGCCCTCCACCTACCCGCTGACTAGGGCCGGCGTGGCTACAGTGCCCTACGCCTACCCATTGGCTAGGTCTGGCGTGGCAACAGTGTCCCGGCGTGACCAATGACGCCCACAAGCGGCGACCTGACAGAGCGCCACTGTAGTCGACTCAACCCGGCCATGCCCTGACGATCAACAAGACGGCACACAGTGCCCCCTAGGCGCATGGGGCCCGCGCCTGGAGAACCCGGCGAGCCCTGGTACCCAGCGGGTCCCAGCGCCGGGTTCCTGGACACTAACAACCCGACCCTACAGCCTTGTAATATTACCCTTGTACCCCTAGGGGGTTGACCTATAAAACCCCCCAGGAGCCCCCTTGCATACGGGCAGAACCCACTTCATTCACACAATCGATCACACACAAAGCAAACACCCGAGGAGAGGGAGCATCCTAAGCCTTGGCCAGACCTCCTTCTCCCGCCATACAGCTCTAGGAGCGATTTTGTACTGTTACATATAAACCACACTCGGCAGGACTAGGGGTGTTATCTCTCCGGAGAGCCCCGAACCTGGGTATGTCTTGCGTCCCGCGCTCGCTCATGCCGACCTCGCCTCTGGAGCCCACCAGTGCCCTCGAGCCTCATCCTGTCTTTAGCCATCCCATGGCATATATCGTGCGCCCACCACGACACCGACAGAGGATTCACATCAGCTGGAGATGTATCTTGACAATAAAACCAGGTTTGGTTCCAGTCTTTAGGGTGACTAGGAAGTGCGGCTGAAGGGAAGGTGGCCTCTTTGCGCCTTTGAATGGAAATTCCCCCAAGTTCTAAGCTAGGCCCATCTGTGAACTCGGTCTGGCGGTTCAAATAATAGTGCTCTCTGAAAAGATGAACACTGTGCTCCTCTTGAAAGTATACTTCGCAAAAAACTTGGAAGTTACAGATGTTGGAAACAGAGTTTGGGCCAATGTCTTGAGGGTGAAGTTGGAAAAGGTGCAGAACATCACGAAAGAATCTTGAGCCGGGTGGAGAAAAGCCCCAAAGCATATGATCAGCAAAAAACCACGACCTCGCCTTCCTTTGGCTCAGGTCTGATCTCCGTCCCCGAAGGTCGCCAGTGGATAACATCCTTGGCCGCTAAGATGCCTGTTTGAACATATTCGTTTAGGGTTTGCTCTGTAATGGTTGAAGCGGTCCAGTTGCATGCAGTCACGGTCTTAGTCATTTTTTCAATAAAAAGCCTGACAATGAGATACTGGTGGGTCAAATTTATGAAAGTAAGCCGCCTTATAGTCAGAGGAAAGCAAGTTTAGTAAAGCAAATTGGTTCAGGTGCAAATATTACATGTTATGGAAGAAGAGATTGGCATGATTAAGCCGACAAGGAAAAACTGGGTGATACAGATATTGGACATATATCGGTGGTTTAAATGTTCTATCAAAGAGCCGACTGGTGTTTTCCGGGTTACAGCATATCTATATTTGAGCCGCCCATACAGCAAGTGGTCGGACGGATGATTATAAGATCTGGAAATGGAGTAAAATTTCTCTAAGTGTTGGACAAACCATTTCCGCAAATGGTGGATTATATTTACGGAACTACAACAGTGCAGAAAAGGAGAATAATTACTGAACTTAAACATGTGAGTGGAAGAACGTGCAAGCTGGGTTTGGATCTAAGGAAGATAGGATGCATCTATGATCGGAACAGATGCTAAAGCTGCTACCGCACAACTCCCCTACTACCTTTTCGATCAAAGTAAGCATTGGCAAAGAGAATTACGATGAACGCCGATGAACGCTGACGAACAGAGGAAACCCTAATGCATATGGAAAGTAGAGAGAAGGGAGTACCTGACGAGGCAGGTGATCAGCGAAGGAGCGCCGCCGTTCTCTGGATACAATCAGGTTGATGCGGCGGCCTGGGTCGAGCTGTTGAAGAAGGTCGACGACGGCGGCGGAGCTCGGGTCGCAGAGGCGTCGCAAGGAAGGAGATGAAAAGGAAGAGGCAGGGGTGAAAAGTGAAGAAGAGGCCCCCCTGTCCCTATTTATAAGGGAGTGATAAGATGGCATGCGCAGAAATCATGGAGGCAAAATGATTATATTACCAATACAGGCGCCTCGATTTTCGGGAGGTCCAATAAGATAAGGATCCATTGAGATATGCTGGGTCTTGTGCGGATTTAATGCACATGATGTCATGGCAGGTTAAAATGATTCTGCTATGTGACGTCATGGCGGGTTATAGAGGATTGATAAGGAATTGATAATGATACATTCTGCTAAGTTAGACAGTGGAGATTGATATGAACAAGTTCCAATCAACCTGGGGCCTAATGTTGGGGATATAGCTTCGAGGTATGACCCGCCTAGGAGGGGCCGAGTTATACCATTGGCGGCTTAACCTGAAGGAGGCCCAGGGAGAGATAAGAAGACGGCGGCTCATGGAGGCAGGCCTGCTAAAGGCCCAGGACCAGGGCTGTGAACCGCCATAGGAAGACTTGCTCTGTAAGGCAGGGCTAGTCAAAAACCGAGCCGGTCACGTTGTGTAAGCCGGCCGGGACTCTGTAAGCCGCCAGGTCTCTACCTGTGTATATAAAGGTGAGACCCGGCAGCGGTTTAACTAAAGAGACACACAATCGAGAACTAGGTCAAGCGTATTCGCTCCCTTGTATTCGAAACTCAAGCAATACAACTAGAAGCAGGACGTAGGCTTTTACCTCGTTGAGAAGGGCCGAACCTGGGTAAACTCCTTGTGTCCTTTGTCCCGTTCAATCCCTTTAAGCTAACCTAGTGTGATGGCTCCACACCTAAGTCCTTTCACTAGGGCATATGTCGTGTTAAATCCACGACAAGATCCTTGCAAGGCGTGCTGCTCATGTCACCACCGGTCTGCCTCCGGATTCGCCGAAGGTGGAGGCGGACGAGGAGGAAGAGGAGGGGGGTAGCAGCGGGACGGAGCAGGATCCCTAGCCCATGGAGTGGGCGGAGCCGAAGGAGGAGGTGTTGGCTACGGGCTTCGCCATGGAGGACACCATGGCGGAGTTCAAGGTCGCCCAGACAGAGGAGATGGTGCAGCAGACCTCCATCGTCGAGTCCATCCGGGACGAGGCCTATGTGGAGGCCAACCGACGCTACATTTGATAGCAAAGGGCAGAAATCGACGAGCTCGACGCCTCTAGTTCGTCGGCGACGAGCCAGAGCTACCGCACGCGCCCATCTACCTGGAGCCGGGCACGGAGACCGTGGACATCTTGGACGATGGGTATATAGGGTACCTACGTAATACGTAGGTTTTTAATCTACATGGCTTGTATGGATTTAAGGTTTCAAGTTTGAGGGAGTATATGGATGCAACGGATGATTCTTGCGTGCTGTCCGGTCATTGTCCGTCCAGGCACGTCTACGGGCGTTTGGGGGACGGAGTTTGTTACTTGTGGTTGTAGATGCCCTAGGCGTCACTAGACTTCGCCTTTTCTAACAGAGCCAACGTGCAACTATAGGAACCTATATGTCCTTTGCTCTGTTTCCTCACGATGAATTGGGGGGGCAATGCTACGACTTCCTTCTTTAGCACTTTCAGTAACTTTGGGGCAATGCTACGGCGCATAGCTAGCTAGCTAGCACGGTAGCACATGCATCACAAAACTCTCATTTTTCTAGAAAAAGCGCTAGCTTTATTAACTTAAATCACACTTACATCCCTCGCTGTTCGCTTACCTGATCAAAGTTTGAAGACGTGCGTAACACTTGCTCTATGGATAGATATACCAGAACAAGCATACAAGAAAAGACAAGCCGGGAACGCAATGCATGGGCGAGGCGGGATGGAGCGCGGCGGAGTATTCAGCGATTCCCATCCGAGCACCGCAATTAATCCGCAAGAAGCCGTACCAACAACAGTCCTCTCTCTATATTTTGAGGAGCCCTGCGCTGCGTTGCGTGTGTGGGCATGAAGGGGACAGTTGGGATCAACTCGATCCAAGGACCAAAAACACAAGCAGAATTTTCTCATTCTTCCCTCCCACAACTAATAATATGAACCAAAATGTGGACCCTGGGAAAAGCCGGGTAGTACACATTTTTTTATTAGCTTATACTCCCAAGCAGCAGTCCCCCATCATCTTCAGTCCCTCTCTCGAGGGGGGAGGGGGTATAAATTTCGGGCAAGTGTGGCGCTCTCATTCGACGGTGGCCTCGCCTCTCACAGCCATACGGAGAGATCACACACGGGAAAGAAAGGGAGTCCAGTCCAGCATCAAGCTAAGCAAGCGAGCTAGAGCTTAGCGCCAGTTCTCCAGTACTCTCGATCGGCCTCTCCTTTTCCGCTCCCCGCTGCTGAATCTCGTCTCCGGCTGCTCGTGGCGGCGGCGGCAATGGAGGAGCAGCTGAGCCCGGTGGCGGTGACGCACCTGCTGCAGCACACGCTCCGGAGCCTCTGCACCAGCGACGCCTCGCAGTGGGTCTACGCCGTCTTCTGGCGCATCCTCCCCCGGAACTACCCTCCCCCCAAGTGAGCCCTGCCTTCTAGCTCCTCCCCTTCCTTCCTTTCCTCCATCCATCATCTTCATCCCGCGCCTGTAAACCATGGCCGCCACCGCCATCAACCAATGTCCTGACGCACTCCCTTTGGTGATTACTAATCTCTTTGCTCGCTCTGTCCGTTTGTTTGAGCAGATGGGATCTCCCAGGTGTGGCGTATGACAGGACCAGAGGAAACAGGAGGAACTGGTACGCGCATACGCAGACCACCCCAAGTCTTTTTTACCGTCGTCTGCGACTTACTGTGTCGGGGTTTTGGTTTCTTGCACCCAGGATCCTGGCGTGGGAGGACGGCTTCTGCAACTTCGCGGCCACCACCTCTGCAGCCGCCTGCGGCCAAGAGGGCGCAGGCGCCGCCGCAGCTGCATACGCGGACTGCGAGGCTGCCGCCGCAGCTGCGCAGGAGGCCAAGCAGGGCCTGGGCCTGGGCCTGCAGCCTGAGCTCTTCTTCAAGATGTCCCACGACATCTACAACTACGGCGAAGGGTCAGTAATACTACTGTTAATGGCGAAGATCAACTGGCTTATGGTCAGATTAGGCAGCTAAGCAGGCGATCGGCCGGTCGCCCGTGCTGCTGGATGATGGTTAAGTTAAGTAACCACTAACCCGGCTGCTTCTCTGTTCTTGGTCGCTTGGCTGCAGGTTGATAGGGAAAGTGGCGGCGGACCACAGCCACAAGTGGATCTTCAAGGAACCCCCCGAGCAGGAGATCAGCCTCATCTCCTCCTGGAGCAACCCCGCCGACTCCGTAAGCCGCTCCTCCTCCCCCCAAACATTCGCCTCCAGCTTACTACCTTGCTAATGCAGTCCTTAACTGACCATCATCCATGACCATGGAATTATTGACCCGGTGCAGCAACCGAGGACATGGGAGGCGCAGTTCCAGTCTGGAATCCAGGTACGCCTGCCTTGACAAATCGCAATCGCCGCCGGCCTTTTGATCAAAAGCTCTCTGCCTGCCTGCCTGCTCCATCATCCTCTGCCCCTCCATGCCTTCTCTGCTGCCGCATCGTTTCCCGCGCCGCATGCAGCTAGCTCAGCTGAAAGCTGATGCCGCCATCGTTTTCTTTCTTTTCTCCTATTTCTTTCTCTCATGCATTCTCCTCTGTGGCGCGTGCAGACCATCGCGCTGATCGCCGTCAGAGAGGGCGTCGTGCAGCTCGGCTCCATGAAAAAGGTGCGCCCCCCTACTAGCCGGATTAGCCCGCGTGTTTATAGCCCGCTGCGCGCTCGCCGGTCTTATTCTACCGGGCTTTAATGGAGTCTCTCCCGAGAAGGGAAGCCAACATGTGGCGCACGCGCGACCGTGCAGCGCTGCCACTGGTGGCAGCGGCAGTGGCTTTAATTGATAGTGGTATTTGGTCGCACGAGTGAGTGAGTGGTTGTGTAATGATGATGTGATGCTGCTTGCTTGTTGCTGGTTTGATCGGTCGACCGATCGTGGTCGTGCAGGTGGCGGAGGACCTGAGCTACGTGGTGACGCTGCGCCGCAAGTTCGGGTACCTGGAGAGCATCCCGGGGGTGCTGCTGCCGCACCCCTCGTCGGCCGGCGTGTTCCCGGTGGCGGACGTGGCCGCCGCGGGCTGGCCGGGCATGATGCCGCCGCCGGACATGTACGTCGACCCCTACGTGCCCGGGCCGGCGCCCATGCACATCATGCCGTCCATGAGCAGCCTCGAGGCGCTGCTCTCCAAGCTGCCGTCGGTGGTGCCGGCGCCCCCGCAGCCGCCGGGGTCCATGCCGGGCGTGGCGCCGCCCTCGGACGCCGCGGCCAAGGAGGAGGCGGAGGAGGACTACAACGCCCACTGCCACGCCATGGACATGTCGTCCGTGCCGAGCAACGGCGGCGAGAGCACGAGCACGAGCGCCGCCGCCAACGCCGCCACTCCCATGTCGTCCTACTTCCTCGACGTGGGCGGCAAGCCCAGCGAGGCCGGGTTCTAGGCCGGACATCCACGGCCGCCGCCGCCGCCGCCGTCGTCGTCGTCGTTCTCGTGTTGATGGCTTCTAGCTAGTGTAAAATCAATTAATCGATCATATTATTACCACGACCGCCCATCCCACGCCGAACCATGGACTGCTTAACCCCAAATCATTGGCACAGTGTCTGTCCGTGCCTCACGCCGCTGATTATATCGTTGGACTTGATCTGGCCGTACGTAGAGTACAATGTGAGTAACAGTTACCAAGTAGCGGTGTGCATGCATGATTGGATTTGTCCATCGCATTTACGCATGCCTGTTATGAGATGCGAGATGCATGACACCTGAGGGCGCAAGGACACGGCAATGGCCGGCGTGCCCCAATCGGACCGCCGTCCTTCCCCCTCCCCGTCGCGATCCGATGGAAGCGCGTTCCTTTGACTACTCCTTTCCCGCCGGGCCCCAGGTGCCTCCTCTCCGGCCAACTAATGCACGTCCGATACGACCAATCTCAGCTCCTCGACCTCAGCTAGGTACGGATCCTCGAGTACTATCTTTGATTCTTGTGTGTGCTCGGGCTCGGGTGAAATTTTTCCGAAGATTTTCATGGCGGAGGCGCGGTCATAAGTCATAACTGAGCACAGTGCCATGGAGCTTTATGCATGTAAGAAAAATTTCGGGGCCGGCGGTCGTCGCTCGTCTGCCGAGGACTGTTGTGGGTTCCTGCAGAGTCGTTCAAGCGGCGGCAGAGGCGGCGTGCCCCACCGTCCCGGCGGCAACAGTGTCGCACAACACAATCATCAGTGCGGCGGGAAGAGGACGTACGCGGGAGCGATGGAATGATTTTTGCGCGCCGGCCTCGAGCGAGGAAATGCATGCAGTGCAGCGCAGGCGAGCAACAGCGGCGCCGCTGTCCGCTTCCGCCCTGCCACTAACGGATCCCGCGGCGCTGTCGACGGCGGCCGCCGCGGCTGGCGGGCTGGCGGGCTGGCTGTTGCCGAGACTGTAGAGGGCTCAGAGGGTGGGTGTGGGGGCGCGGGGGAGGGGCATGTATTCAAGCTGCTTCAGATTCAGTCAATCAGCGTCGCCGGACGTGGATTGGTCGTTGGTCCCGGCCGCCGGGGCGGGGCCGGGAACAACCTAATCTGCGCCGGGGGCCCACGCCGCCATCATCACCTGACCGCGATTGCTCGCCATTGCCATTGCCGGGGGCGGGGGTCGGCTCCTCGCAGCTTATGATTCGGCAGGGGCGTTCTGTCGAGGCGTGAGTGGTGCGTGCGGCGCACACGCGGAGCGCGCGCGCACGCGCGTACCGCCTTCTCCACTGGCATGGCGCCCTGCGTGAACTTCCAGGTACGATGAGAGTTGACTACAACCACGATGTGCCGTCGTCGACGTGCGGGTCGCGTGATCAGATCGCGGTGGCGTCACAAATAGCCTGCCCACGCAACGCGATCGGCAGCCCCAGCGCGCGAGCCGGACCGGCCGGGTCCGCTGCGTTCACGCGGCACCGGCACGGCCGCGTCACTGCCTTCGCCACCGCGTTCCTGGTCATCGAGCAGCCCCGCCACAGTGCGGCATTCACGGCGCTCCTCTAGGGCGGCGTCCACAGACGCTGCACCTACGTCTGGCGCGCGCGCGTGCGTGCATGCGGGTACGTACGGCGTCGATCGGGACGGCCGGGCGGCCACCGCTATATATCGGGACAGGCTCGACGTCGCGCGCATGCCACGGGGCGACCGACTCGGTCGTGGCGGCGGTACGCAGCGGGGAGCGATCGACGTGCGTCCACGCACGTAGCGGCGCCGCGCGGTGGTCCTTGGTACGGACAGGCACGGCTAGCCACGGATGCATGTGGACCGGCGGCGTCTCGGCGTCGAGCACATGATTGGCCGGAGAGCCGGTTTCCGCGAGGCTGCGGTGCCCGGGCGATCGGGTGGGCGGTGGCGACGGGCTGGTCGTCGTCCGGGGGATGGATCCGACGAGACGACGCGCGCAATCATTGGGTAGTTTTGGCCTCGATTTGTGGAAGCCAGGGGACGTGGCCCGAAGTTGGCGGGGTACAGAGCGAGAGTTCGTGCGCAGTGGCTCGAAGCCTCTCCTTAAGGCTCGTCATAGTGGGAAGTAACATATGCTAGTATCATGCATATGATATTAGGGTATGATACGATATTCATAGTGCATAGTATCATAAAGTAGTATTATAAGTGGTCTTATTTATTGCTATGCGTGACACATAGTAACATAACATTTATTATGTTACGGTATGTACCTACGTTACTATGACCCTCTCTTTCTTCTTTAATTTCCTACCACGTAAGTATGTTTGCGAGTCCCAAGTATATGATACTAGTTATGTTACCCCCACTATGGTCAGCCTAAGGCTGGTCATAGTGGGGAGTAACTTAGACTAGTGTCATATTCATGACACTAGTCTAAGTTACTACCCCCATAGTGCAAAGTATCTTAGTAGTAGTGTCATAGTTTGTTTCATTTATTGTCTTATAGACTCATTTTACCTCGGGAAGTGCTATGTTACAGCAATATATTATGTTATTCCAAGCACCTCTCTCCTCATTAAATACTTGCCACATAAGCAAAAATGTCTTGAGATGTGTTAAGTTACTATCTAAGTTACCCCCACTATGGCTAGCCTAAGGAATTTCATATGAATTCTATAGGATAGAAAAAAAAAGTTATAGCAAGCGGTCAACTTGGTAAGCCGTCAACAAAAAAACTACAATCATCATCAATGATAAACAATTCTTTATAAGAATTTTTTCAGAACACTTTTTTTTCAAAGAGAACCCTTTGATTTGGACGCCGATAACTGCCACACGTGTGGCACAATGGACATCCGCCCACACGACCTTTGTGGCATACCCAACAGGCAGCCCATACGAATGTGTGTGGCCAAATATTCGAACTGCACACACGTGTGGCAGGAGAAGCATCCTACCACACGACTCGTTCGGTAGGAGGGGATCGATCCCCCGCACGAATTCGTTCGGCAGGGGAACCCACAGCCCGCACGCCTCCATCACACCAGACCCTTTTTCCCTGTGAAAAAAAGGAACAAAAAGCCCACTGACAATGAATTAAATGAAAAGGCCCAGATTTTTTCTGTGAGAAATAAAAGCACAGGTTTTGCTCAGCTACTAAAAAATGCCATCAACTTTGAAAATAGCAGAAAAATTGTCATTCGAGTTTGACCAAACTATTTGACATTATATTGTTTTTTAACAATGGCAAAGCTTTATAAACACATATTTAACCCCCCAATGAAATATGGCAAATCTGCCATGACAAAATAATCAATATTGCCATGTGAAAAAACACAAATAGTTGAAAAAATCATGTGAAAAAAATAAAAAAAATTTGACAAGACAATAAAAGGAAAAAATGAAATGGCATTTTTAATTAAAATTGCCATGAAAGTTTAATTAGAATTGTCGTTTTTTGAAGGAGGATTTTGCTGTGTGAGAGAAAAATAATATGAAAATCAAGTATGAACAAAGAGATTTGCCATGAAAAATTCGTACCAAGAATTGCCGTGTGTTTGAATGATGAATTTGTCGTGTGTGAAAAAACACAATAAGTTGGAAATCATTTATGAAGAAGAAAAATGTCATGGCAGATTCATATCAAAACTTGCCACGGCGAAATTCACGTAAACTAAATTTGCCATGAACAAGAAAAATTGCCATGATTTGAAAACTAAATTGCCATGATCAATAAACTAAATTTGCCATGATTTGTAAACTAAATTTGCCATGAACCAATAAAATAAAATTTACCATGATCAATAAACCAAATTTGTATCAAAACTTGGCATGGCAGATTTGTATCAAGAATTGCCGTGTTTTGGTATGACGAATTTGCCATGTGTGTAAAACACAAAAAGTTGAAAAACAAAAAATAAGAATGAGCAAATTGCCATGGCAAATTCGTATCAAGAATTGCCATGTGTTTGTATGATGAATTTGCCATGTGTGAAAAAACACAAAAAGTTGAAACTCAAGTAGGAACAAGAAAAATGCCATGGCAGATTCATATCAAAACTTGCCACGGCGAAATTCACGTAAACTAAAACTTGCCATGATTTGAAAACTAAATTTGCCATGAACCAAATGAACTAAATTTGACATGATCAAACAAAATCAGTTTGCCATGGTCAATAAACTAAAATTTCCATGGTCAATAAACTAAATTTGCCATTATCAACAAACTAAATTTGTTGTAGTTAAGTAAGAAACAAAAGCATAAAGATTGTGATGAGCGTGTTAAAAAAACCTAAATTTGCCTTGGCAAATAAACATGACATTTTCCATGGCAAACTTTGAAAAATAGGTCATAGGAACATTTTCTAAACTTGCTATGTGATCAAATGCAGAAAAAATTGCATGTTATGTACACATATTAAGTTGACATGGCAAGTTTGCCATGTTTTTGAACATCTATAACTATGACATGTTTTGAACATCTATAGCTTTGCCATATTTTTCAACATCTTAAGTTGCCATACTTTTGAATATCTACATGTTTTATTTGAGAGATTTTCCATGTATGTAAAATAACATGAAAAAATGAACATGAATTTGACATGGAAAATTCATATTAGAATTTCCATGAAATTTAACTAAAACTACCATATTAGAATTAGATCATGCTACAGAAGTAAACTTGACATGTGTCTGATGTAGCTGTTGAATTATGCCATGGCAACTACCGCAAAAACTTGCCATGGCAACTACTCGTAACAATTATGACATGGCAACTACTCCTACTCCAGAATTGTGCCATGGCAACTACACCAATTTTTTTGCCATGCCAACTGCTTGTAGGAATTCTGCTCATGGCAACTATTATGAAAGGATTGCCATGGCAACTACTCTGGAAAATCTGCCCACGGCAACTACTATAGATAAAAATTGTTGTGGCAACTACTCATAGAAATTCTGTCCACGGCAACTATTATGAGAAATTTGCCGTGGCAACTACTCTAGATTGCTCCATCGCCAG